AGGCCCCCGCCATGAGGGGGAAGGACGAGGTCCTCCTTCGGGGAACAGCTCTCCTGCTCAACGCCGAGGGCGAAGGCCGGGGGGGGGGGGGGGGAACCCGTAACGGCAGCGGCGGCGGCGGCGGCGGGGTCCCCGTCGACGGAAGTTCCGCCGCGTACGGCTGGAAGCAGCGGCTCGGTCTCGCGGTTCACGAGGCGTTTTGCTCGGCGAGGATAGCGGAGCTGTTTGACATCATCGCCGACTACCCGGATAGTGGCGTGGCGATCGGGGAGCTGAAGGTATGTGTGCGTATGCATGCGCCATGAGGTTTATTTATTTTTGCGTGGTGGGAGTTGTAGAGAGACAACACATGTGCGTGCGCCGTGAGATTTATTTTGCGGGGGGGGAAATTGTAGAGTTGGCGATGCGTCCTGTGTCGGAGGGCAAAAGACTCGGCTCTGCTGAGAGTTGTGGAATCGTCTCTTCTGACTGAATGGGGGGAGTAACTCCAAGTCCGCACTGGAAGGATTATTGTTTGTATCTTGTGCCCCCCCTCCCCCCCCCCGCTCGGGTTTCCGTCTAACGACAACGCCTTCAGCCCTCCTCTGCCGTCTGTCTATTGAGTTCCCACCTATCCTACCCCCGCACGACCTCCTTGCCCTTGCTTTCCGCCTATCCTACGGCAATGCGGGCCCGCAGCTAACAAGTACTTCTATGGGATCACAGAAAATACAAGTCGTAAAGTTGGCGAGTAACAAGAAGATTGAAATGCAGCCATATCAGCGGACGAGGATCCTCCCCCTAAAATCTCCATAGAAAGACCTGCACTCGACGGTGTTGGCGACGACACAAGGTACTGGACGGTGTTGGCAGTGCCATAAGGTATTTGACGGTGTTGACAAAATAAGGTACTGGACGGTGTTGACGAAATAAGGTACTCGACGGTGGTAATGACGACATACGGCACTGGGCGGTGATGACGACGGCATAAGGTACTCGACGGTGTTGGCGACGACATAAGGTACTCGACGGTGTTGACGAAATAAGGTACTGGACGGTGATGAAATAAGGTACTCGACGGTGGTGACGAAATACGGTATTGGGCGGTGATGACGACGGCATAAGGTACTCGATGGTGGTAACGACGACATAAGAAGGTAATCCTCCACCCCAAACTGATGTTTCTTGTCCCCTGGCCCCTATTTACTGCCGTGTGTGTTTTTCATGTCTCGCCAGACCGCCCTGGGGGTTACGCAACAGCACCAGAGGCTGGCGGTGCTGTTGCGCGAGAGCGTGAGGAGGCGTTTGTTACACCCGGGGGCCAACACGCACCAGATCATGGACGTTTACATCGCCACCATCAAGGTCCTTCGCATCCTTGATCGGAAGGTGTGTGTGTGTGTGGGGGGGGGGGCGGGAGCCGGTTGTGATGGGGGGTAGGGGGGGTAGCAGGAGTGTGTGTAGATCTTGCTTCTCATCGGGTGGACCTCTCATGATGTCTCGATCCAGTACTCTTACCGGTAGATCTATTCAGAGTAGCATCAATGACAACGACAACGACAACGACGGTGAAATTCGATAATAACGTCGATGCCAAGAGCAGCAAACAACATGAGCAATAGCAGCAGCAGCAGCAGTGAGCAACGACAACGACAACAACGAAAACGTACGCCAACAATTCGACATTAGTAACAAGGACAGCATCATTCACGAGCGGCAAGCACCAACAACAATCAACGAAACATTAATTA